ACTAGAAGGACCTACAACTAGAATGTACAACTATGTACCGGGGGCTTTGGGTAGAAGAAGAAAAAGAAAAAGATTGGCAACAGATGTTAGCTCAGGGCCAATCTTTAAAAAAACAAAAAGAAGCTTAAAAAAAAAAGAATTTCCTTCCTTTTTAAGGCAGAATAATATTTCATTATATGTATAGACCACATTTTGTTTATTCATTCATCCATCAATGGACACTTGGGTTGCTTTCACTTTTTGCCTCTTGGGAATAATACTGCTATGAACATGGGTGTGCAAATATCTGTTCGAGTCCCTGATTTCAATTCTTCTGGGTATATACCCAGAGATGAAATTTCTGGGTTCTTTGCTATATATTTTTAATAAGTTCTCAGATCTACCCATTGGCTTATTTCATATTTTAAAGATGGCTTTTGCCGTTTTGAGGAACACAGTGTCACCATACCCTCCCTTGGAGTTTCCATAGTCAACACATTTCCTCTCCGTGTCCCCCTGCCCTGGAACGGTTGAAAGATTTCTTACAAAACAATAGAAACAGGCTTCTTAAGAAGGTTTACTGTTTTTGACCTATTTATAAATTCCGAATATTCATTTTGCTTAAAGGGGCTTAAATTTTAGCTTTTGAAGAATCAAAGCTGGAAGAAACTTGGAAAAAAGCCCAAAATGTGCTCATTCCCCAGGCTTCATGTAGAGCCTCAACCTGCTTCAGCGTCACCCTCTTCTACTGCAGATCTCTGGAAGACAAAGCTTCCAAGCCTTCCTCGTCTCTTCCTAGGTTAACAGTCTCTCTCAAGAGCAGCTTCTTCATACCTAAGTGAAATCTAACTTTGCCGTTCTTCCTACTCTGCTCCTTTGCCAGCCCCTCTATCCACTCCTTCTTCCCATCTTGAACTTCATACTGCTCCCCAAATGTATACACTGATTGTTTAAAATTCAGCATTGTGTCATCTGTTGGAAGTCCTTCATGATCTGCCAGGATGACTTCCATTTTCCTTGTCTGAAAAATGGAGAGAAAAATGTCCTTACTCTGTCGGTTTGTTGTGAGAACTCAATGTAAAAAGATATGCTTACATACTATCCGAGGCACACGGTAAGTTCTCAATAAATGTTGGCTGTTGTTACCAATAAAACAAAATTTAACGGGGGATGAAAAATCAGTTGTTTCATATATTTATATTAAAGTTTTCTACATGTAAATATCATTATTATTTTACCATCCAGTTGAACTTTATTTTTGTTTTTTTTTCCTAATTAAATCTTACTTTCTTACCTTTCACTCATCCTAATGGCTCTTCCCTAAATCTTCACTAAATTATCATCTACTCAGCTGTATAGCCCCAAGCTGGATATGATTCCCAAGTCCAGGAATGAAAAATGTAAAATACAACTGGACATGGGAAGAGGAGAGATGCTAATTTTATTTTAATTAGCCATCTTCCATCTTTAAGATGCTTATTCCCTGAAAACCTGTTGAAATAATATCATGTTCTTCTTAGCCTTTTTGAGTCACAGATCCCTTTGCAAATACAATGAAAACTATGGATTGTCTCTCACCTCCCAAAAAATGCACACTCACAGTTTTACATTAAAATTCTGGGGGTGTATGGACCCCCCCCACAATGTTTCAGAGGAGTCCGTAGATCCCAGATTAACAATGAGTATCGTATAATATAAACATAGTAATTCTCAATTGTTCTATATTTCTACAAAATACACCTCAGATGTTTTATCCCAATATTCATCCCAATCTAGTACTTCCTGTATACACCTCTTTATTGTTTCCTAATGGTTAGACCAAGGCTGACTTAACCAAATGCTCTAGACTCTGCAGAGACCAACTGAGAGAACAAGGCAGAGGATTACCTCTGTGTATAGGATAAATTATCTTTTTTTTTCTTACCCTTGTATGACCGGTGTTAGGAAACTCCTCTTTAGGCAAAGATAGCACATTAAAAAAATTTTTAGGAGCTGGCCTGGTGGTATAGTGCTTAAGTTCATGTGCTCTACTTTGGTGGCGTGAGTTCAGATCCCAGGCCGGGATTTACACAATGCTCATTAAGCTATGCTGTGGGGGTGTCCCACATTCAAAATAGAGGAAGATTGGCACAGGTGTTAGCTCAGGGACAGTCTTCCTCCAGCAAAAAGAGGGGAGAGAAATTGGCAACAGATGTTAGCTCAGGGCCAATCTTCTACACCAAATGAAACCAAATAAAAAAAACTTCTAATTGTTTGGCGCATTTGAAAATTCTAAAACATAGAAAGATGAAAGGTTCTGAACTCATGTAATAGCTTAGAAAATATACTTCAATCCAGTCTCCTTCTTAAAAATAGTTTTTACTGGACTATAGAAACCTAACCGGGTAGATTTTGTGAGTTTTTGTGAAATATTAAAATAAATTGGATAACAATCTAACTAAGGTAGATTAAATTTGATTCATCCAAGGGCTTCTACGTCAATGAAGGAGATTTCTTTCTAGTCTATAATATTCATTAACATACAGGTAATCTGCTCCATATGAAAGCAAAAACTAATACTGGTGAGAACAGAGGAAATAGGACCAACTTTCTCTCCATGATGAATAAGGGAATTTAATTCTAAATCAAATACACTGTTTACCAGAAAGTCCTAACAATGTCATCCCAAGATGCTTTAATTTTAACTTTGTTCTATACTACATGCAACTTTAACTTATTTGATTGTAATTGACCTTATCACCTTATTCTTGATTGGCTATGCCTGACTCTTCAATACTCAGGAAGTCCTCCAAAGAAGTGCTCACAAATGGTCATCCTTCCCTATTTACCTACTTGTGTAGATCCAGTCATTGTGAGTTCTGCTGTGCTGTGTACCATCAGCAACCAGTCAGAACTCACCAGTACCCCAGAGTAATAAACATTTATAGCTGTTTGGGACTCAAGGTATCATTGAGTAGGAGCTTGACAATGTCAGGAGAATTTAAGGAGATTACTTCCAGTCAAGTTGTGGACTAATTGATGAACAGAAGGGAAGGAAGAAAGAGAGCAATTGAACTGCCAATGCTGAGAGCTTATCTAATTTCAACTGCTTATTCTAGAAATGAAAACATGAAGTAACTGATTACTCTTAGATTAGGACTGGAGACATGGTTTAGGGGGAAAAATTAGTCATTTGAGATTCAAGAAACCTGCATTCTAGACTCAAATTTGCCATTAATGTTGGGTAAGACAGTTTTTCTGCATCTCAGTTGCCACAAATGTTAAATGAGAGGATTGGGTTAGAATTCCATGATGCTAATCTTTAACTAGGCTGTTTTAATTCCCAGGCTATTACTATTTCTTCTGAACATTTACATCTAAATATGAGCATAGTAAATGGTGGTCTTTACCATCAATTTGATATCAGAAAGTTCTGGTTATAGGAATAATTATAATTATTATTCAATTAATATTAACTGTTATGGGACAGATAATAGAATACGTCCTTTAAAATACATTAGCTAAGTTATACTTTTTAAAGTTATCAAGCAAATATTATTCCTTTCATTTTTTTAACCACAGACATAATTATTTATTTTTATAAATATATTAAGCAACACTTCCTGAGTATCACCCACATTTCTTGGTCCTGCAGATACAGCAGTAAATGATGTAAAAAAGGACCCTGTCCTTAAGGATAGAGAATTTAGACTATTTAAACAAAAAAATAAAGATAATCCCAGATGTGATCATTTAAAGAAACGTAACAGTGATTTTTCTAGAGAATATTGGGTGATGTGATTGTGGGGTGGGAAGACGTTGCCTTAGATTGGATGGTGATTTCCAAAAGACAGAACTCTGGGCTAAGGTACACATCAGGAGCGTAAATCAGCTATGCTGAGAGGCACAGAGACAGGAGGTGAAAAAGTCACACAGAAAGGAATGAGCTTGCCCTTCAATGAGGAGAAAGAAGGCCAGGGTGACATGGTGAGTTCTGAGGGTCAGGCAAGGGAAGCTTGGAGAAGTTTTGACAGAAACATATGTCTACAACAACTAAGAGCTTTTAAACATTAATACAGACGTATTCAGGGAGAATTTTTGCTTAAAACCCAAACTGACTGTAGATACTTCTGCCTTCTAAGGATGTGAGTCTGGGCGGACTTACATGTGTGTGAGTGTGTGGTTTGAGCAGGAATATTTCTTAAGAGTGAGGTGAAACTTGTTATACTCCTCTCTTCCCCTTGTAGAGATTGGCGAAGGACAAAACTGGGTAATACCTGAAGAAGATGTTTACAAGGACACCTAGGGAGTCCTTGGAAGTATCTTGGAAAGTCAGAGCTGAGTCTGAGGTTGGTTAGGGAAAGAGGAATTATCCTGTAAAGAAGAGGTGTTTAGTCCCTGTGACGTATGGCTGGGGGCCAACATACTTTTAAGTAGAGAAATCGCCAATATTCAAAATAGTGTAATTGCTGTGTAAACTGCTTTAGTCTCATCAAACTTTCAGTAAAGTCAGCTACACGGAAAGATGCTTTTTGTGAGCAGATTTGCTTTTTTTGAGGGAATTAAGGCAAAGGGCTGAGTTAATTCCATGTTCAAATTGATGCAGAGCAGAAAGGATGGAATTGATACAGGAGAAAGACTCAGAAGCTGGTCAAATCTGGAACCGAGGCCAGAAGAGACTATGAAAATATAAGTCCCCCAGGAATGTGCAGAAATCTTAGGAACAACACGGCTTGCACTGGCATGTAAGATATAGATGTATTTATTTATTTGTGCATCCATTTTCAGTATCTCCTCACTAACAGAAAAAAATAATTGGAGGAGAGAGGAAAAGAGAGAGCAAGACCGACTTCCTTCTTAGAAACTATAAGCATTCATGATACCAAAACATCTAATTGGTGAGAAAAAAATGCAAGTTAATGTTTAATATGAAGTAGTCAAAATAACTGGCTGATTGGGTAAGCTTTTCACTTTCCAACCACTTGCTATGGCACAATATAGACACAGCTGTAAACAAACATTTACGAGCAGAACTGAGTTACCTTATTGCAAATTTGGAGAAATTCATAAACATGCTCTCAGTTTTATCAGCAAGAATCCATGTGAATGACTTGTCCCGTTTGCTCAGGGATTCTGGAGTTTTTAAGTGGGTCGGAGTTTTGAAGTGTTGAAAGATATTATAAAGCACTTACAAGCATTCAGCTAGTCAGACTGCTCAATTAGCTGAACATTTATAACCTCGAAATTTTGACAGGGCGTGATTCATGTAGGAACGAGGCCTCGGACAACAGGTGGCTTTGTTGTAGGTATGCTTGAGAGAAAGCACGCAGAGAAAGGCGATGTGAAGGAAATAAAAACTGAACACGGAGAGAAAGCAAAAGTGAATTTAGGAGCACGGATTGTTCTCTTAAAAGAACGAAGTTATTGAAAAATTTAATTGATAAATTTTTAATGATAGCATGTTTTTCAAAATTTTTACTTAAGAATATTCCAGACATTCATTTATGGGACATACCACACACACAAAAAAACAGCCCATAACTAATATCTAATTATTATCTAGGCAACCCATACTAACTCCTGTTACAAATCTAAATTGAGTCATATTTACAAAAATAAAAGCAACAGGATTTGAGAAGTAAGAATTGAAATAACTAAAAAACTAAATCTACAGCATTTTAGCTTTTTTTCCCTGTAGCTATAGGCTGCTTATATTCTGGGGAGTATTTTAAGTCGCAAGTCATGTTTTAGAATAATACTTTTACCACTAAAATATATCAAATTTTAATTGAGGATTTTTTATCAGTTTTCTAAAGGAGAAACAAAAAGTGATTCATCCATCTAAATAAAAATATGCACTTTCAGGTATATGCAGATTTTTAAAACTTAAGTTAAAGGTACATGGAAATCCACTTGGGAGAAAAAACATCAGATTCTAAAATCTGGTTTATATGAATCCATAGAACAAATGCAAAATTTCCTTCATTTGGAGACTATTATGTACATATTATACTGGTGCAACGCTTTTTCTTCTTTTTTTTAACTTCCTAGGAGCACAAAGCTACTCATATTACCAGGAAAAAAAACAATTCATGGAACAAGCAGCAAGTAAACAATTTCTCCCAGAGGATCCAGAAAAGAAAAAAACCCACCTCAAATGAAGCAAAAAACGAAAAAAAAAAAAACCCTTATTATATTATGGCTACTTCTCTCCGAGGAGGAGTTGCAAGCACTCCTAAGGATCATGTCCAACAGCCTCACGCCATCCTGCGAGGTATAAAGAACGGCTACTGGTGCTCTCGCGCCTTGAAATGTTTATATGGGGAGAGTGGCTCTCCCAGGCGGGCTGGAGCACTGCCAGGCAGTAACTTTCCTCTCCTCCTCGAGGAAGTGAATCAGGGCCGCCCTGGCCCGGATCAGTTCGCAGGTGTCCAGCACCCAGTAGGAGACTTGGTCCCTGACCCCCCCAGCGCCCACTCCCTCTGGACTCCTCGGGGAGGTGTGCCATCAGCGAGGTGAGCTCACCGCACCACTGAGTCCGGACCGCTTGGAAGAGCGTGCACCTGTGTGGTTCAGGGTCACAGGTGCGTGATTCGGTTCTCCAAGGTTCCCGCTCCCATCTTGTAGACGGGCAGCCAGCGTTCCCCCGGAGCAGTCCCAGGGCTACCACCTGCCTCTACCCAGTCAGCAATGGGCGAAAGCAGAACATAGTCCTTTAAGCTCAGCACTCGTTACCTCCTCGTAATGCTGCTTAACATTAAAGGCATAGTAAAGTCATATTGCTGCTTATCAACTTTTCTAAAATAAACGTGAAAAAGATTAAGTGAAAAACCAGTAAGGAAGCTTAGACGTTTCTCCTCCTTTACTTGCTTAGTCATTTCCCCCCTTAACATTATTAAGCAAGAAGCAATTTTGATAGACTAGAATACTAATCCTTGACTACTTGTTCGTACAAACTCCCAGCGTCCCCTCGACCATTCTTGTGCTTACTCGGGCCTCAGTACAACCCTGTAGAGTAGATTGTTACTGTGATTATTCCTCATTTTGTGGGTGAACCTGGAGTTCAAAGAAAATAATTTATCAAAAATCAAACTGCTGGGACAAACCACAGTCAATATTTAAATATGGAACTTCCGACTCTAAATTATATTTCATTTTCTTTGCCCCTATAACTCTAACAAATCTAAATAAATAGTTTTCTGAGAAATAATTTATTACAAAACCTGTTATCAACCCAATAGGAACACATACTAAAAGTATAATTTTTGAGTAATTTTCAAAGAGACTTTATAAAAATGTGTCTGTGCTCAGTTCATTGCTTACATGTGCAAAATACTTTTCTCACTGTTCATAAAATCAGAAAAAGATCATACTTCAACATCTTAGGCATTCACTATTAACTCCTTAAAAAACCTTTCCTTTGTGAATTTTTTTTCTTTCACAGTTTGAAGAATGAGAAAATCTATTAGGAAACTTAGCTGTTACAAGTAAAACCGAAAGAAAAGAACAAAAGAAATCAGGAGCAAGAGAGAGAAATTTAGCAATGATATTTTTTGATTTTTTTTTTATCATGGTGATTTAGTCAGGAAAAGAATGAAATACGGTGCTCTGTGGGTGAAAATATCATTTATATGTACAAGAATGAGTTAAATTGGCATTGGCTATAAATGTTGTCCATGAATGAGCTTTTAGATCAAAAACAAAAACAAATGCAACACACATTACTGATAGAAAATATAATTAAAATGCAGAACAATTAATTAGCAAGCATGGAATAGTCCACAAATTACTTACAAGGATAAGTTAAGCCCTGTCAAGGCTCCTGCGGTCTGCTTCTATGTGAGATGTTCATTGTACACGTTGTAAAGATTGTTTTTTCCTTCTGCTAAAAGCTCCATGACTTTCTTGGCAAGACCGAATGTAAGTTGTTCTTACCGAATATCAGAACTGTCATAATTATGATTTTTAGGGTCATCCAAATTAATTACAACTTCAGGCAGTGACATGGACTAAAATAGCAAGAGCTGCCAGTGATCTAAAACTACTCACAGCGTGTCTCAGCGAGTACTTGGCCAGGAGCACATGTCGCTTAAAAAAAGCACATAACCCTTTAGACCCAACGGTCAATTAGCCCTTGGTGGAAATGTCAGCCATAAGTATGAAAAGACCTTTCAATTAGTTACATACTATTTTCCTCTAATTAGTGAGAACTGATTTTAATTTTTCCCCCTTCTTTTCTTAAATGGGACCACATGGGATCAAGTTTAGAGGGCAACTGCTTCGTTAAAGAAAGAGAGAGAAAAAATGAGAGCAAGATGGAGAGCTAGAGCAAGTGAGAGAGAGAGAGGTAGTTTTTCTTCTCAATCAACCCCATGATTCTTCTAGAGATAGGCTAAGTAAATGCCTATCAAAAATGAGAATCTTTAGAGATTTCTGGGGAACTTCGCTGGGGCTGTGCTGCTGAAGTAAAACATTAAGACATTTTCCAAAGTTTCTGGCAAACAAAGTATAAAAATAATCAGAGTCTGTGAGGCCAGTCCAGTGGCATAGTGGTTAGGTTCATAGTTTCCACCTTGGCAGCCTGGGGTTCGAGGGTTCGGATCCCGGGCAGGGACCTAGACACTGCTCATCAGCCATGCTGTGGTGGTGTCCCACATACACAATAGAGGAAGATTGGCACAGATGTTAGCTCAGGGCCAATCTTCCTCACCAAAAACAAAACAAAACAAAAACAGTCAATCTTCACCTGACTGTTGTGCTGCTTGCCAAACATATGTAGGACTTTATAAATATAGTGATTTAAATAGACTATAGTTAAAAGAATATCTTAAAATTACTTTTGTGAAGCAGTTTTGAAAGGACTTTTGAAATATTTGAATAGAATCGACTTTGAAATAATTCTAAGTTCTAGCCAATCTCTAATATCTGTCTAAAGTTCAAGTATCATTGGGTTATGGGTTGGAAAACTTTTGCAAAAGTACATGCATTTCATTCTCTATTCCATGGAATGGACAACAACAATATGATAAAATTCCATTTTGCTGAAATTTTAAATTTATTTCTACATTTGAGAATATCAACCTTTGGAGGAAAGAATGTTCTGAGTCTTTACCTCTTTAACCTAACTTTTAAAAGTGCTTTTAGGTCATCAAATTATAAGGAGAGAGTTAGATTCATTTACTCATTTAAAAGTAGAATTAAAAAGCATATTACCTTTCAGCTTGATTTATTTGTCTTTATTCATTTAAAAATGTTAACTTGGAATTTGCACATGGGAATTTCCAAATGAGGTAGCAGGCATATGATATTTCACTAGCAGTTTTTACACTATGCTAACAGTAAGTAAAAAAGATTGACATAAAAAAACATTAAGCATTCACAGTTGTGTTTGCATCTGTCCTGACATTATTTAAGACAAACTACCTAAACTTTCTTAAAATCCAAAATTCGTGGTACAAGAGCTCAGCAGTGCCCTCAGTCTTCCACATGCAGCTTTAATTCAAACAAAAAGCAATTTCACAAGCCAGATATAGGTAACTATCCCAAGAAATCCCTGTGTCATCGTACGAAGAAAGGTCAAGACCGAAAAACAGAAAACCAAAACCAAAACCCCCAGGTAAAGTCAGAACTTAGAAGGAACAGCTTCTGCTCACTAGCAGGATTCCTTCCTGTTCTAATAGGATCGAACAAAGAATTCAGTTTATTCAGTTGTCTGGGCAGGAAGCACGCTCTCAAGAACCTATGAGTGTGTGCAGATTTTGTAGAGAATGTGATGACTTTCTCTTCCTCACTTCTCATGTTTAGATGGAGAGCGTGAAAGCACTGCGGAAGAGCTCAATCCAGAAGTGGGGCAGGGAGGGGCTGGGCTCCCAGAACTTATATCCCAAGGGAGTCCCAGTGTTTTTCAATACAACAGGCTCCAATGCCATCCCCCAGCTGGTGTAACCTCAGGAGGGGACACAGTTGCCTGCTGACTTTGTGAAGACCAGGCCTGTTGGACCAGACATCCTCTTCTCTCAAGCTCCTGGAAGAGTTACCTGCCTCCTCTCCTCTTTCTGCCATGAGCCAGTTTTAATTGGGAGATGTTTTCCCCCAGTCCTGAAGCTGTCAACTAACTAATTCTTGACTCCCCATCCCTACCACAGAAGCGACACCAAGGTATCAGAGTGTCATTCAGCATTAAAGATTTGGGTAACTCACATTTTGTGAAGGGCTGTGAGAATGGCTTCCTTTTAACTAGTCTCCAAGATTTACTCCAGATTCCTTCAATTTAAGTGCATGCTATATGCCAGAAAGACTTTTCTAAAAGGAAACGTTTCCTATTTTTTCAATTTCCTTTCCTATTTTAAATCTTCTGTGGCTCCTCATTACCTGTATTTATAAGACTGCTTCCAAACACAGCAGACGCTCCAAAAACATCATAAAATACCTATCACCTTTGGCATACTAGACAATATTTCAACGGCACCTCCTGAGGAAGGCCCACGGGCAGGGGGAGCTTTCTCTCAGATCACTCCTACCCATTTTGCAGGTAGAGGCGGAGCTCAAACATTGCCAACCAGTATAAAAGGCTGATTCTGGGTGAAGAGCAAAAAAGGTAAAAGAAGGGAAGAACTACGGAAATGAGGAAGAAAGGAGGAGGCAAGATTTCTCGCCAATTCTGAGGAGATGGCCCAGCAGGTGCCCAATGCCAGTGAGGGTAACTGGGGGTGGGGGGGAGGGATAAAGCAGAATGGCCACTTCACAGAGCCGGCTTTCTGGGCATGTCATCTGGGCAGTTGCATGTGGCCCCCCAATCAGATGGGCCTCACCCTTGGTTTAATGTTCTGCTGTCACCATCTTGAAATTCTGAATAATTTTATTTTTGAACTTGTGTTTTACAACTGAAATCTAATGAGACAGTTGAGCAGTTGAGAGAGGAGATACGCTCAATATGTGTCCACTGCCCCTTGCCTCCCCAGGAGTACAGAATTCCAGTGGACTCACTGAGTTCATCGAAACTCTGAGTGTAAGCCGAGCGTGTTGTGTCTACTGCTGTCAGCCCCAAGAGGCCAGGCTCTTCCCTAGAACCAGAAGATGGTTCCAACGCAGAAGACACACAATGATGTTCTAAAAAACACAGTGACCCAGAGAATCTCTCATATCCTTTCTTTTTTTTTTTTCTTACTTCCCTGAATTAGCCAACCACCTACTCTAAAAATGATGACATAGAGGGAAAGGGAAAAATAGGTCAACCCATTGATTCTTTTCCTGTCAGTCTTTCTCGTCCATCAGGAAGCCAAAGGTAGAGACTGTTGGTAAGAATGTGTGTACCATAAATGAAATAAAAAGAATTGTGTTTTGTGCATGGCTTCTGCTTTTCTTTGTTGTTCGTGCCATGGAGTGGATTCTGACTCCTAGCCACCCTGTGGACAGCATGTCCTTCCCTTGCTAGATCAGACAATATTCCACTGCTATTCACAGGGTTTTCAGAGCCAGCTTTTTTGGGAAGTGGATGGCCAGGTCCTTCCTCCTAGTCTGTTCTGCCCTGCAGAAACCTGTCCACCCTGGGTCATCCTGCTGGTATTTGAAACACTGGTGTTACCGCTTTCAGCTTTCAGCATCACAGCAACACACAGCCAGCACAGTACGACAATTGATAGACGGGTGGTGTGGTTCCCCGGCCAGGACACAAACTCGGACCACAGCGGTGAGAGTGCCAGACTTAACCACTAGCCCACCAACAGCTACATGTACGAGCTGTGAAATATAAATTGTGTGATTTTGGTGATTTCACATACAACTTAAATGCTCTTATATTTGCGTTTAAAACTGGCACTACCCCAGATGAAGCTGAACGGCAAAATTCATGTTAATTAGACATTTTAATTTTTCTTTACTTAGAATGCTAAAAGCAAATTAAAAAACCACCATGTCAAGTTGAGAGAGAGACCACAGAAGAAAGGACAAAGTTTTATATTGTAGAACCTTTAACAACACTTCTTCTTGCCTTTTAAACAATGGGCCCCACATTTTCATTTTGCACTGGGCCCCACAAATTATGTACTTGGCTCTGCTACTTCATTAACTCCAATTCTCATTTTGGGTTCCATAGTTAGATTGAGTTTTTGACTCAAACTCCAAGTAAAAGACTACTTGCTGGATTCTTCTCTACTTTGTGTCTTGACAAATTAGTTCTAGGGCTGGTTGAGATATGGACCAAATGCTCCCTTTCTGCCATGTTTGGAAAGTAGTCAGAACTGTGGCGGGGGGGAGCCGAAAGAGTGGTTCAACCCTAAGAAAAATTCTCCTATTTTATCATCTTTTCAACAATTTTTAAAAGTAATACATTTACATGGCAGTTGTTAGGACCATGGGGAGAAGTTGCTTGAGGACCCCCTGTGAAACACTCAATTGAAATATCGCTGTTCAGAATGTGAGATATATGGGTGCTGGGCTGGATGCCAGCTCTGCACAGGCAGAGTGCAGAGATGCCAGGATCCAACACTGTGGCCAGCATGGAGTAAATTCACTGAGGAACACACGAGACAGAAATCTGAGGCTTCTCTTGGTCCCACAATTTGCTGCAGACATAACTGAAAACACTGCCCCCCACACTTAGCTATCTTCCAATTTTTTTTTTTTTTTTTTTGCTGATAGCAAAAATAAAGGAAAAGCAGATGAAACAACAGAGTTATGCAGATATAATAATAAGAGGAAAAGAATTATCCTCTCCTTTTAAATTTGGGACCTTTGCCCTGCTAAGAACCAGGAGTGATTGGCAAGCTGGGAGCTTGGGCAGAATTGCCCTGCCTGATTGCAGAGAGGGGAAAAAGGGAGAGAACAGGAGAGGAATGGGGAGGGGAGGAGGCTGCGGGGGGTGAGGGGGGG